TTATTTTTAAGTTTATATTAAATTTTAGTAAATTTATTCATTTTCTGCAACTGCATGTCTTTTGAAATAGTTTCAGATTTGTTGAACATTAATTTTTTTTTTTTTAATCGTTTAAAAAAATTCCAAAATATAAACACCGACTGTTTCTAAGCAAGTTATTTGATCGTTGATGTAAACAAAGGCATACTGTGACAAAAACCAGTAAAGTATTAATACTAACAGTATATCTCTTATTCCTTCCTTACTTACTCCAGAGAAAAGCAGCAGAGCGGCCGAAGCAGGAAGCAGTACAGGAAGAAGAAGAAGAAGTAGTGGTGCATGAGGACAATGAATGGGGTTGGCATCCCACACACATCAGATTCCTCATTCATAAAACAGAAATCTGTAAATGTTATGTAAGTTTGACGGTGATGTTGTTTTCTGCCAGGCATTGAGTTGGTGTCAGAGGTGTCGGAGGCAGAGCTACAGGACGCATCAGGACCAGTACCAGATCTACCGGAGGGCATTACTGTAGCCTACACCATACCTGAGAAAGTACGACCCACTGAAATATAACACAACACTTTGGTTATTCAGAATTTTCCTGCATTATCAAAAAATTTGACAGGCAGTGAGGTTACATTTTATAATATTTGATGTGATTTTTGGTTTAGGTTGGATGCTTATATGATCAATGAAAACATAAAATGAGTTACCTGACAAATAATTAAAACTAACTTTCAAAAGTGTGTGGTCAGTAAAATTTTTATACGGCAAGAATACATTAAATTGATCTAAATTGACAGTAAAGACATTTACGTTTCAAAGGAATTTTATTTCAAATAAATGCTGTTGTTTTGAACTTTCTAATTCTCAAAGAATATTAAGCAGCACATCTGTCTTCAACACTGATGATAAGAAGAAATGTTTACTGGGCACTAAATCAGCATATTAGAATGATTTCTGAAGGATCGTGTGACACTAAAGACTGGAGTTATGACTGCTGAAAATGCAGCTTTTCCTCACAGGAATAAATGACATTATTAAATGGAACAGTTATTTTAAATTGTAATAATATTTGACCATAAATGCAGCCTTGGTAATCATTACTCTCTCTTGACTACCATGAATGTGTAATACTCTGTGTTCTTTCTCTTTGCCAGGATGGAGGATCAGGGGAGACGGTGGAGGAAACAGACCAGAGTTTAGAAGAGCTGATGGCTCAGATGAAGAAGATGTAAGGAAACAACAAGCAAGAGGAAAGTGACATCCTTGAACTCAGAAAAGAACTCTCCCAGAGACACTAAAGACAAACTCGTTATTATTTTGTACTTATACACATGTAACATCTGAGGTCTCATATTAAATGAGTTGGGATTTAGTTTTTTATTCTGTTTTTGCAAGCAGCCTGTAACACTCAAGATGTTTACAGGTTTACTTCAACTGAAAGTCTTAATACTGAATTGCCATCACTGTTGATCTTTTGTTTTCAGTGTTAATGTTTCAGAGTTGGCATGGAATGGTTAATAGAACTAATCTGAATGATTGATTTAAATAGCTGTTGTTAACAGCTATGCAACGAAAACAGATAAGACTTCAGTCACACCTCTAAATATGTAATTGTCATGGCACTGCCTTTTCCAGCTTCCCCTATCACACACACAGACAAACAAAGACAGCCAGCCAATTAAAAAGGGTCACAGATTCATTAATAATATTAAAAAGACAAAAGCACACAAAGACAAACATTTCAGAATGAATGTATGCATAATTGCCACTTGATTGCTACATGTTCTGCAGAGCTGCTGAGTTGTAACCCTTTCCTGTAGTTTCTCACCCTGCGTTTGTAAAGCATGGCCAAGTGTTTGAGGGTATAGGCGAGAGAGGGATGATCTGGGGCAAGTGCTCGTTTGCGGATGTCAAGCGTTCTTTCATACAGCTCCTCGGCACTCTCATACTCTTTCCTCTCGCTGTGGAGCGCAGCTAGGTTGTTCAGAGACTGGGCACAGTCAGTGTGATCCGGCCCTAGCACACGCTGGCGCATCTCCAGGGATCGGGTCAAGAACATTTTTGCAGCACTAGGTTATAAAAACCAACATGTTATAATGCATATTATATAACTGTAAATGGAAAATGTGTATTATTAATAAAGTAATGAAGTATAAGAATAGTTTGTCATACAATGTAATTTAAGCCTTTTCAGAAATTTTTCAAGGTACATTTTAGGTACCCACTAAGTGTAATACATGAGGAAAGACATTTAAATAATTTTTAAAGGGGTCATACGATGCTATTTTAAAGATCATTATTTTGTGTATTTGGTATAACAGAATATGTTGATGCTGAATAGCAAATTTTGCTGAAATTTTGCTGAACAGCACAACCCACACATCTGGGTTGTGCTGTTCTGTTGTAAATAAATCTTAACCAATGATTCCTAATTGCATCTACTTCCGAAGGTCAAATAAAGTGCTTTTGCTTTCGCACCGAATCGCACAGCGTCTCCCTGACATGGCTGCATCAACACTACTGCTGTTCCTGAAACCACGCCTTCTTTTTGCGTGCACATTTGGGTGGCATTATGCTAATATTTCCACATAGTGACGTAGACATGTGGGGGCGTGTTAGAACAAGCCGATTTAGGTAGGCGTGGTTGACTTAACTTTTATAAAGAATATCTCTTTGGATTTGAGACTTTAGTCTTTGCAACTTTACAGATCTTCTTTATGCACCAAGAGCTTGTAACACTCCAAAGAGAAAGGAAAACTTGAAATCATCATATGACCCCTTTAACAATCATAAATGATTATATATGGTAAGGTTTTAACAAAAACAGCAAGACAAGCTGAATAAAAAAATGCAAATTCACTCTCTGACAGTAGGTGGTGATTATTGAAAATCAGAAAAATATTGGTTACCCTGGTTACCCCTGTACACAAAGCAGTGCTGAGCTTATAACACCACCTTATTAGGCATTTGCATGAATCATTTGACTGACCTATTTCAATGCCAGAACGGCTAATTTCGCTGAAAGGCAATGAATTTGCAGTATGAATATAGCCAAAATAGCTCCTTCTGCAAATTTAATGTCATCCCATATATATATATACTGTATATATATATATATATATAGTGCCCTCCAAAAGTATTAGAACAGTAATGACAAAATTATCGAGTATAATTGTAATTATACTAGTATAATTGTAATTATAAGTATAAAAATGTGGAGTTAAGACGTCTGCAAAAATTATTAAAAGATGAATTTGAGACAAAACTACAGAATGTCACATTTTATTATTAAGCCGTTTCAACACATTCATGTTTTACCAAATAAAAAGGACAGCGCTTTTAGAGTTTCATTCCCTAATCTGATGTGAGCACAAGTATTGGGACAATTGAAATTAAAGCAACTGTAAAAGTTTAAAAGCTAATATTTAGTTGCAAATCCCTTGCATGCAATCACAGCAGTGAGACTGCCACCCATAGACATCACCAGAGTCTAGGTTTCATCCATTGAAATGCTTTCCCCAGCCTTTAATACAGTCATTTTCAACTGTTGCTTGTTTTTGGGAGTTTCTGCCTTTAGTCTCCTGTTTAGCTGGTGAAATTCATGTTCAATAGGATTTGAATTTGGAGACTGACTTGGGCAATCTAAGACCTTCCATTTCTTTACCCTGATAACCTCCTTGCCTGAACTAGCAGGGTGTTTTGGGTCATTGTCCTGTTGCAATATGAAGCACTTTCTGATGAATCTTGTGGCATTTTCTTGAACATTGGTAGCCAAGATGTTTTTGTACACTTCTGCATTCATTCTGCTATTACCATCATTCATTAAGTCATTAATAAAGTTGAGAAAGCTCAGAGGCAGCCATGCATCCCCATGCCATTACACCACCTCCACCATGCTTCACAGATGAGGTTGTATGCTTAGGATCATTTTCAGTTCCTTTTTTTCTCCTCACATTTGCTTATTCCCATAAATTAACAGTGTCCATAAAACTGTTCCAAAATTCTGCTGGCTCACCTTTGTGCTTTTTTGCACCCTCTAATCTTGCCTTTCTATGTTTGCTGCTGATCAGAGGTTTGCATCTTGCTGTGTAGCCTCTGTAATTCTGCTGTGGAAGTCGTTTCATAGGGGATGGAACTCTAAAAGTGCTGATCTTCTTAGTTGGTAAAACATCTATGTGTTGAATAACCCAATATTAAAAATGTGACACCCACACATCTGGGTTGTGCTGTTCTGTTGTAAATAAATCTTAACCAATGATTCCTAATTGCATCTACTTCCGAAGGTCAAATAAAGTGCTTTTGCTTTCGCACCGAATCGCACAGCGTCTCCCTGACATGGCTGCATCAACACTACTGCTGTTCCTGAAACCACGCCTTCTTTTTGCGTGCACATTTGGGTGGCATTATGCTAATATTTCCACATAGTGACGTAGACATGTGGGGGCGTGTTAGAACAAGCCGATTTAGGTAGGCGTGGTTGACTTAACTTTTATAAAGAATATCTCTTTGGATTTGAGACTTTAGTCTTTGCAACTTTACAGATCTTCTTTATGCACCAAGAGCTTGTAACACTCCAAAGAGAAAGGAAAACTTGAAATCATCATATGACCCCTTTAACAATCATAAATGATTATATATGGTAAGGTTTTAACAAAAACAGCAAGACAAGCTGAATAAAAAAATGCAAATTCACTCTCTGACAGTAGGTGGTGATTATTGAAAATCAGAAAAATATTGGTTACCCTGGTTACCCCTGTACACAAAGCAGTGCTGAGCTTATAACACCACCTTATTAGGCATTTGCATGAATCATTTGACTGACCTATTTCAATGCCAGAACGGCTAATTTCGCTGAAAGGCAATGAATTTGCAGTATGAATATAGCCAAAATAGCTCCTTCTGCAAATTTAATGTCATCCCATATATATATATACTGTATATATATATATATATATAGTGCCCTCCAAAAGTATTAGAACAGTAATGACAAAATTATCGAGTATAATTGTAATTATACTAGTATAATTGTAATTATAAGTATAAAAATGTGGAGTTAAGACGTCTGCAAAAATTATTAAAAGATGAATTTGAGACAAAACTACAGAATGTCACATTTTATTATTAAGCCGTTTCAACACATTCATGTTTTACCAAATAAAAAGGACAGCGCTTTTAGAGTTTCATTCCCTAATCTGATGTGAGCACAAGTATTGGGACAATTGAAATTAAAGCAACTGTAAAAGTTTAAAAGCTAATATTTAGTTGCAAATCCCTTGCATGCAATCACAGCAGTGAGACTGCCACCCATAGACATCACCAGAGTCTAGGTTTCATCCATTGAAATGCTTTCCCCAGCCTTTAATACAGTCATTTTCAACTGTTGCTTGTTTTTGGGAGTTTCTGCCTTTAGTCTCCTGTTTAGCTGGTGAAATTCATGTTCAATAGGATTTGAATTTGGAGACTGACTTGGGCAATCTAAGACCTTCCATTTCTTTACCCTGATAACCTCCTTGCCTGAACTAGCAGGGTGTTTTGGGTCATTGTCCTGTTGCAATATGAAGCACTTTCTGATGAATCTTGTGGCATTTTCTTGAACATTGGTAGCCAAGATGTTTTTGTACACTTCTGCATTCATTCTGCTATTACCATCATTCATTAAGTCATTAATAAAGTTGAGAAAGCTCAGAGGCAGCCATGCATCCCCATGCCATTACACCACCTCCACCATGCTTCACAGATGAGGTTGTATGCTTAGGATCATTTTCAGTTCCTTTTTTTCTCCTCACATTTGCTTATTCCCATAAATTAACAGTGTCCATAAAACTGTTCCAAAATTCTGCTGGCTCACCTTTGTGCTTTTTTGCACCCTCTAATCTTGCCTTTCTATGTTTGCTGCTGATCAGAGGTTTGCATCTTGCTGTGTAGCCTCTGTAATTCTGCTGTGGAAGTCGTTTCATAGGGGATGGAACTCTAAAAGTGCTGATCTTCTTAGTTGGTAAAACATCTATGTGTTGAATAACCCAATATTAAAAATGTGACATTCTGATGATCTTTTAATCATATTTGCAGATGTCTTGACTCCACAGCAGACAAAGCAATTTTGTCATTACTGTTCCAATAATTATGGAGGGCACTGTATGTATGTATATATATATATATATAGAGAGAGAGAGAGAGAGAGAGAGAGAGAGAGAGAGAGAGAGGAATATTATGAATTTTTTGGAGCTTATGAAAAAAAACAACGTGCGTCACATCCCAAAACATGACTATTAAAGTCCTAGCAAGGCACAGTGACAGGTTTGGTATATATATATGACACCATCTCAAACTTTGAGGAAGTCCTGCAGTGCAGATAGGTCTGCAAGAGGAAATACAAACCTAAAGAAATGGAGAGCAGCTCTGATCTATCGAGGTCATTGATTGTGAATGATCTGCACCCAGATGTGAACGAACAAGAGCTGTGTGCAATATTTCACCCATATTTTCACCCCAATGACAGGCATGTAGACGAGATAGACCTGACTGAACTCATCGAGCAGTCATGGGGAAGAAGGCTTGCAAATACTGTAAAAAGTGTTGTTGTTTTTTTCTTTTCATAACAGCTTTGAGCAGCCAGGAAATATGTCCAAAATATTCAGTAAAAATGCATTCAAAAACTACAACAATAGTAGAAATTTAATTGTCATTTGTATCAAGAATGGTCGCATTTCACTTGTATTTTTAATATCTACTAAAACTGTTAGTGACGAAAACTTATTACACTAAAATATTTTACAGGACATTTAGGTGTTTTTCTTATTTCCCATGACTGAAAATCTGCATTGCACAATTCCAAAATTTCCAGGATGAATGGGAACCCTATGATCTTTTGCAAATGTACTGGTGTATATGAAAGGATGATTTACTCACTCCAGGTTGTTCTGCAGGTAATAAAGCACTCCAAGCTCATTTAGAGTCTTGGCACAATCTGCCGAGTCTTTGCCAAGAGTAAGTTCCTCTAACTGCAGTGCCCGCCGCTTCAAGAGAGCGAAATCATACTACAAAGAACACAAGCAAATACAGTATGAAAGATACTGTTTTTTTTCACTTCTCTGGAATCACAGTTCATTGAGTGGGACCAAAGGAGACACAAATGTGGCTAAAATTATTGTTTGGCCTTTCCTTACCATGTGGCCTTTCTGTCGTGCTGTCTTCTGTCTAATCTTGACTGATCTCTTTCTCAACTTCTCAGCCTGCTCATATCTAGATAAAATAAAAACAGAATTAGCCCAGCCCTAATTTTAAATCATTAACTACACCATGAATAATTAAAGTACAAAACATAAACGAAAAGGTATCTTTTCCAAATCCTAGAAGGCTGCATAGGGTTTCCTAAAGCGAAGGTTGTCAGTTTGTACAATTATAAAAACAAAGGCATTGGGGTCATAAAAGTTGGGGATCATACATATCTTAGCAAGGACGCATTCAATTGAGTGACAAAGACATTTACAATGTTACATGTTAATGTAACTATTTTGTTTTCTATTAAAAAATTAAAAAACACAATCATTTTCAACAGTAATAATAATGAATGTTCCTTGAGCACCAAATCAGTATATTAGAATCATTTCTGAAGGATCAAGTGGCACTAAAGACAGGTTCGCCATCCTAGGAATAAATTACATTTAAAAAAATATTAAAATAGAAAACTGTTATTTTAAAACATATATTTTGTAACATTACATTTTTTTACTATGTTTTTGCCCATGGTGAGCAAAAATAAATAAATTCTTAAAATCTCTAACCCCAAATGTTCTCTTTTAATATAGAATGACCTATAAAATATAGTTATATATATATTTAAAAATGAAATATTTCATCTAATATTTGTGTGCTATGTTTCTTGTGCTTATTTGACTGTCAAGACTGTCAAAATTTGTGATAAAGCATTATGTAGAGAGTTTCAGCTTACTGATGTCCCATTTGTGCCTCAGAAGGCAGCTCACTAGGATTTGCAACAAAGCCTCTGCAATATCTGCACAGTAGAGTATGAATTTAAGAAAAATGTGCTGTACTTGTTTTGTTTCTGGTAGAGGAGCGAGAGTGAGTCTAGTTCTCTAGCGACAGTGCTGTGTTCAGGGCCATAAGCGTTTTCACAAATCTCCATAGCTTGTTTGTACAACTGCTCTGCGTTTCCAAATTTCCTCCAATGAACGTAAACCCCCGCAAGCTGGTGCAGGGACTGAGCCACACTTGGGTGGTCCGGATCCAAAGCCGTCTCACGGATCTCCAAGGAGCGCTGCAAGGGGGCCACCGCCTTAAAAACAACATGTTCACATCATTTATACATGATATAAAATAAAATACAGGTGATCCTCTGTCTTTCCGCTGTACCACCTGGCTGAGCAGTCCCAGGTCTTTAAGGAAGCAACCCAGTGTCTCGTACAGGTTGGCCAGTTGGCTCATGCTCTGTTCACTCTCACAGGTCTTCTCAAACTCCTTCAATGAGTCGAAATACTCTGTTGCCATCGAGCATTTATCCTTACCAACAAATTGCCAGTATGTCAGCAGCTCAGAGAAATGACCCCTGAGAACGCACATCAGCAGCAAGACGTTATTTCAAACACATATTCACACATGAGATACAGCAGGAACGTGAGAATGTACCTCTTGTACAGGTTCTGGGACACAAACAGGTTAAGTAGACTCATCTGGAGTTTACTTTGATCTTCCTGCTGCTGCAGTAACCATGGCAATTCATCAGCTACCCTCCACGTCACTCTGTCTTGCCTGAACCAAAAGAAATTATATCACAAAACAATCCAACATGGCAGCTACTTGTTGATAAATGCTTTGCTCTGAGACAATATCAGACATGTGATCAGCTAAGGACAAAATGACTATACAACAACAACAACAATAATAATAAAAATTATTATTAATATTATTATTATTAATAATAATTATTATTATTATAAAAATTACTATTTTTTTATATTATTTAAATTATAAAATAAATAAATACAAAATAAATAAATAAATATATTACTTTTGCAATAATACTATTGTACTGCAAATAAATACAAATGAATAATAATAAAATAAATGGAGTTTGTAAGTAGCAGTATTTACTGTGAACTGAGCTGAACTAAATGAAGACACTGAAAACACCAGACCATGAGCTGCTCGTGTGAAAATGAACACAGTACCGCTTCACTCTGAAACATGCAGCAGCCAGAATATCACCGTGTCATCTACTCGCCAACACCAATTTGGCACTTCCCGAGTATGACATTTTCATGTAAAGGGTGTTCCGCTCACAGCCTTGAAACTAGGGGTGTAAATCGGATGGTTCATCACGATACGATACGATACGATAACGTTTCTCATACCCAGCGATACGATATTTGCCGATACCTTGATACAATTATACGATACGATTACGATTCGATACAGGAGTATATCGATCGATATATCGATATTATGATATTATATATCTATTTTAAACAACCATCTACATTTTTATTAACTCACAAATGCAACCAAAATATATAACATGAACATTTATCTGAAATTTTTTCAATCCCTCAATTGGGACGTTCACAACAAAAAAATAGGCCTACACATTTTTTTTGAAATAATAAAGAAAATAAACAATTGGAAAAACAATTCTAGCTGCTATGGGCTCAGTGCTAAAAATATTTTCTACAGATAACCAAATTACAAGCAATAGCAGAAAATAAATACAACACAACAAAGACAAAGACAAAGACACAAGTTCAATAAACAAGCAGTGCTTTTCAGGTTTTTCAGCTCAGTCTAAAATAAACTTTCAGGTACGCTACAGAAATGTAATAATTAAATGTAAAATAACTGCATAGTCTTCACTGTATAAATGGAATATAGATGAATCATTTTTGATGTTACAAAGGTTATTTAGTCAGGAGCAGTGAGCACTTGTATTTTTCTTTGACAACATTAGATTTATTATTAGTTTGCGTTCACGTTAAGAACGAAGCACGGATTTAATATACTGATACACATGCCTTTTCTTTCTCAACTGTTTACATTAAGACTTATGCCTAACTTACTGTGTTTACTAGGATATTCGCCAAAACGTGCATTTTGATGTAATTCTGTCTGTATTTATTCATCCATGCACAAAAAAGTGGAAGAGAGCTCAATTTAGTATTTGCGCGGTGTAGACACGGCTGTCTGTGTGCGTGTTTGCGTGCGCTTTAGATGTGTGCGCAGAAAACTTCTCACACAGCGCTCGACCGTTCCGCAAACAATCCCGAGCGTCTTTTATGTTCACCTTGTGCCTTCGGGCAGTCCTTATATCGAGTCCTTATACGTGAGCTTGAACGAGAATGCATGCATTGGCGGTAATGCATAGACGGACATTATGTGAAAATGTGGACAGTGCCAAAATAAAGGTGCCTATTAGGCCTATTAAAGGTGCCTATTAATAAAGGCTGACTACAGATATCGATATTTTATGTGTGGCATCGATGCATCGTATCGTCAGACATCGTATCGATGTATCGATCCATATCGATTAATCGTTACACCCCTTCTTGAAACGCAGTAATTTTTTCCCCTCAGATTTACACAATTCTCTTCCCAGGTCAGAAAATGCAGAAATACATATTAATACAGAAAAATCACATCCCTTCATTATAATCAATAAGATATTCTTACTTCAGCTGTTCACTGAAGAACCGAATGATTTTCTCTCTGTAGGATCCATGACATTTGCCCCCATCCAGAAACTCTTGGTTGACCGCTTCACATGCCTGGAAATGATACACAGAGAAATAACTAAAGTGAAACATATTTACTTTCATCCACAAAAACATTAAGGGACATTTGACCAAATATAGCTTCAAAGGTACAGCTATGTCAGAGACATACACACCTGTGGGTGCTGAAAGCGAATGAGACCACAGGTGTAGGTAATGATGAGGAGTCTCTCCAGATTGTGGAGCAGTGAGGTGAGAGCAGGAAAACTCAGGTCTGGGAACAGCTCCAAAGCCTCTGATTCACTGATGCCGTTGTGACTGGCACATACCAGGCACAATAGCTGCACGAGAAGAAATACAAATAAATAAGTTAAACTGTGTACTGTAGTGTTTTTTTTAGTGAAACTCTTCTTCAAAGTGGACAGGTGACCTCTTTCATGATGTGCTTTTCCTGATCAGTGCCGAGTGAGTCTAGCACAACCTTCAGGCCCAGTCTGTATAGTGATATTGTATCTTGACACAACGCACACTGCTGTAGAGTCCTCTCCAATGTCCAGGAGGATCTGGATCTGACAGATTAAACATAAAAATGCTCATATAAACAAAGTGTGTGCTAATGAGAGACAAATTAATTGGACTGGCCCACCTTGTCACAATTTATTATTATTATTATTTTATATATTTTTATATTAACATTATTTTACATATAATATACATACAGTATATTACATATAATTTTTTTTGTTAAATATTGTATAATAAATCGTCGTTTCAAAATGAACTGATAGCTTTGACACTGCATAATGTCACTTTTCATTTATATTGTAAATATTGTACAATAAATAAAAATAAAAAATGGGGCAATTAATTAAATTAAATTACTCTGCTGTATCAATACAGCAATCAAAAAAAAAAGTTGTAACGCTCTCACACATTCACTCTCACAACACACACACACCTAGGGCTGGGCAAAAAATTGAATGCGATTTTCATGCGAATCTCGTCAGTAAAGCCGCTTCTGGTGATTAGTAGTAAATCTCCAGCACGTGCTTTCAGATGGAGCGGCATTTACTACACAGAGCCGTAGATCACTGACAAACTACACAAAATCACGTTCAAAATTGCAGGCGATTAATTGCCGATTCGATTTTTGCACAGCCCTACACACACCTATAAATACAAACAAGGAATATAAACAGACATAGACCCACAAACACTACAAATGTACAATCCACTCACTCACACACCTACTTACTGTGTAATGAGTCTTGCTAGTAGTGTGATATAGAGCGCGTTGCATGTTGCAGCTGAACGGCAATGTCTCTCCAACTTCTTTTCCTGTTTGCAAGCAGTACAGACCGATACTCAAACTCAGCATACATAAACAAAGATGAACACAGACTGACAAGGATGTTTACCTGATCTTTGGTGAGTTTGATATCGCTGTTCACACATTCTGTGCTGATGACACTCTTCACCTCTCTGGGATTGAGTGGGTCCAGGTGCAGCGTGGGCCACAATCTAAATAGTATATGTTTTGTGATTGTCTGTGTATAATATTACATACATGCATAATATCTGAAATCAAATGAGTTGTTATGTGTGTTTGTGCATCACAAACCTCCATGCCTGTGGGCAGGTCTCCACGTTAACTGACACCAGCACTCTCACATTAGCAGGAAGAGGATCAATCAGCCACTTCATGTGCCGCTCAGCATTCTAGGGAATACAAAAATAACAAACTGATCATGCCGAAGAATATTATTAGATATAAACATTTGGGCCAAAAATGAAAAGCTGATATTTATTTTATGCTATGGTCAAAAATTTATAAATGGGTAATAAATATTAAAATGTTATGCTATTTTCTATAGAATTTTGTCAAAATAAACTACAAATAAAACAACAAAATTAAAATAAATAATTTTAAATGCTGAAGTAGGCATCTCATCTTTATAATGTACACTCTGACAAATGGATATTTATTTTGAGATCTGATTACATGTCATTTAAAACCACATTGTTTGTGTGTGTGTGTGTGTGTGTGTGTATACACAAACACACACACACAAATGTCTAGTCACCAACAAATATCTAATATACAAAATCTCTTATTTCTAGTGCTGTCAATCGATTAAAAAAATTTACTAATTAATTGCACATTCTGAAATTAATCACGATTAATACCACGTTTTTTTTTATTTAGTTTTATATTGCAATAATTGAAATACGGTATATTTTTAATATTTGTTTAATGGCATCTTATTTATTACTGAAGGTGAATATCACTGATACCAATACTACTGATGTCTCTATGAAATTGTTTTTTCCCCTCTAATATTTAACCATTGGCTATAGCCATTCAACATTACAGTATAATTGAGAGCAATCAATTTTAACATTTGGCTTTAAAAAAACAACAACTTATAATTTAAGTGAACTTAAAACAATCTTCACATAAAATAATGTACACTCTGACAAATGGATATTTATTTTGAGATCTGATTACATGTCATTTAAAACCACATTGTTTGTGTGTGTGTGTGTGTGTGTGTGTATACACAAACACACACACACAAATATCTAGTCACCAACAAATATCTAATATACAAAATCTCTTATTTCTAGTGCTGTCAATCGATTAAAAAAATTTACTAATTAATTGCACATTCTGAAATTAATCACGATTAATACCACGTTTTTTTTATTTAGTTTTATATTGCAATAATTGAAATACGGTATATTTTTAATATTTGTTTAATGGCATCTTATTTATTACTGAAGGTGAATATCACTGATACCAATACTACTGATGTCTCTATCAAATTGTTTTTTTTCCCTCTAATATTTAACCATTGGCTATAGCCATTCAACATTACAGTATAATTGAGAGCAATCAATTTTAACATTTGGCTTTAAAAAAACAACAACTTATAATTTAAGTGAACTTAAAACAATCTTCACATAAACCCAATATAATAAATGTCAAATTTAGCTACATGTGCCCTTCAGCAAGTAGGAAATATACAGAAATTGAATAAAATTATCGAACACTTAATTCTAAATTAAATACAGATGAATCCTTAAAGCTACTAAAGTTATTGATTTCCTCTTTTTTCTTTTGTTCTTTGATTAACAGACATCCCAGCAGCTGGGTTATTAGGTTATTTTGGCTGTTTTAAGAGCTGCCGCTGCTGAACATGACACGGATCTGACACGCATCATATTTCCTCACAACTCTTTACCTTTTCTGACCCACTTCAGGTCTTAAAGCCCCTAATAATGAGCTGACGAGTTGAAGCTGGTGTGTTAGATGAGGGAGACTTATGAATCTTAAATGTGACTCATATATAACAAATACTTACATACATGCACAGTTTTAAGGCAGCTTTAATAACCTTTTTGGTAACTTCATGACTTAACTAACGACATAACTACGACATTGCATGCTCATAGTTTCATTTGCGCTTTAATATGAAATGATTGAGGCTACAGCGCGAGCCGCCACATTTGTGTGTGCAATTGAAGAGCACGTGCTACGAGCACAGTATAACGGCTGACACGAGAGTAAAATTCATTTTTACTGACATATGGCAACATCTAATCTGACCACAGTTCACTGTTGTTCTACCGAAGCTCCCTTGTCACTTGTACCTTTTCTGTGCTCGTTTGACGTTCGTTAACATGTTAATTTTGACAACACTACTTATTTAACTTATCCCTAATGAAAGATATATACCCTTTCCTTATAAAAAAAAAGCTGAAAATTTCTGCTGAAATTAAAGAAATGTTTGCATTATGTAAAGAGTTGATGACAAAATGTAAAATAAATGACTAAGAACTACCCCAAATAAATGTGGGTGTTTAGTTTTGTCTTCACCAGCACAGATCATTAAACATGAGCACAGACAAACATACCACAGCTCAATGAGGAAGATTTTTTGAGGAAGTGTTACCTGTATTTGGTCAATGGAGTCAATGATGATTATGATGTTGCCGTGGTGACGTGCAGACAGCCGCTCTAGCCAGCGTGGGAACTCCTCGAGTATCTTAGAAGGGTCCATCGAGAGGCCGGAAATAGACCAGAAATGCTGGAGCAGCTACAAGGATGATTGGGAAAGAGAATTTGTTCAGAGGAAAGTTTTAAGTATTGTTAACTATGTTTGAATTGTGTTTATAAAACCCTTTTCGTAACCGTCTTTTTACCGGTAAGATATTATTCAGACATCAGTACCAATATACAGGTAAACTCTGTGATGTCAATCATAGGAAATTACCTTTAAAAGGCTATGCCGGTGTCTTTATCCACTTGGATGAGGAGAAGCGCTATAGTTTCACTATCTGTCCATTCTGATCTTTTTTTTTTTTTACTTCTGAGTGACAGGCATAAGGGGATGACCCCACAGAACAGGTTTTTGCTCTCAAAAACATGAGTCACATAATAGGTACTATAATACTGCAGTTACTATAGTAACGGCACTGATGAATGGACACAGCGAAACAGTCAGAAATCCATCTGCAAGTGTTTACATAGAAAAAGCAGCGGCGCTTACTGTAAACAGTATGATTTATGATTGGCCTAAAGCAGATTTCTTATGGCAGAGTGTTCTTCTCTTGTATGTGCTTCATACCGGTAATCCTGTTCTTTGTTCACACGTAGCATGATACCGGTAATTTACTGGTAAAGTTACAATTTCTCATACCGGAAAATTTACCAGTAAAGACTGTTTGTGTGAAGGGGCTTATGACTTGTGGGGGCTATAGTTCAGCTAGAGTTCAGGAAGTCTAGATCTAATGCTTGTAATGCCAATGTTATAGCAACCAGGTAAGGTCAAGTCTGTAGTATAAGTCAAGATAAAAGGTTTAGCAAGTGCTGTTTTATAGTTAAAAGATCACTGTAATAATTAACGGATATATGTGTAGAAGACCTTGTGAATCTATACAACTATACAAGTCTGTTCTTTCACTGTTTTGGGCTTTTTGCATAATAGTTGCATAACAAATTTTAAACCCTGTATTAAGGCTACTTTAAACTTAGGGTTAAACCAGGGGTTTTCAAACTTGGGTCCAGAGAACCCAACGGGGCTGCAAGTGTCTAGGTGTTTTAGGGAGACTTAATTTTTCTAGGGTTCTAGGGTGTTTTCTTTCCTCCAACAAGAACATGTAAAACAATGCAAACACGATGGCAACTCGAGTGTATATGTATGTGCCTTATAGCAGTTTTTTTATTTTTTCTGTAAATTTTTTTTTGCACACAATGTTTTATGTTTTGGAAAAATGGAAATATTAAGCAAGCAAAATGGAAAAAAAACAGGATATAATTTATAAGCTTGTTGTGATAAGATTGTTCAGAAATGGTGAAAAAAATAATGTTTCATTAAAAAAACGTCTTTCTCCTTAAACGTCATTTAAATAAACAAATATTCGAATATTCGTTTTTTTGAGTTAAAATATTCGAATGCAATATTTAAAAAAAATGGCCATCCCTAATTTACATGCAAGACAATGCTCCCTGTCACACTTCAAAACAGGTAAAGCAGTTCCTTGAAGCTGAAAACATTGAAATAATGAAAAGGCCCAGAGTCCTGATCTTAACCCAACTGAAAATCTCTGGAAAATCTTTGGCGACAAAGTTATGGTTAAGAAACCCACTACAGTTACCGAACTATGGAAGAGACTGGAAAAAGAGTGGACCAAGATCACACCAGCGTAGTGTGAGAAACTAGTGATACTAGTGGTCTCACCTCAGTTGTGGTATTGAGGGTGGAAGAGAGCGCTCTGAGGTGAGACCCTTGAGCAAGGCACCGAACCCCCAACTGCTCCCCGGGTGCCGCAGCAATATGGCTGCCCACTGCTCCGGGTGTGTGTGTGCACTTGGATGGGTTAAATGCAGAGCACTAATTCTGAGTATGGGTCACCATACTTGGCCACACACCATACTTGGCCACACTCACTCACGATACCCTGCGGCCGCAGATGTGCTGAAGTCACTCAAACCGAGGGTCTGTACACTTCCTACTAATTTTTGACAGCTGTAACCCTCCAAAATTTTAGTTGTAATCTTCTTTCATGCTACAGCGGTTACTGTTCTCTAATTTTGATCACTGTGTTTTCCACAAAATAAAGGTGTTTTCTTTTTCTTTTTTTAATGCCTTGGTTATTTTGTCAAACATGTTAGTGGATCAGTGGTATACCCACAGCTAATATTCCTTCAAATTTTGAGCGATGAAGATTTACAATATTTTAGAGAGTATTTAGTAAAGTATTTATGGATTGTAATGTTGATCTCCACTGTACATCTAGGATTCCTCTAAAAGTGAATTCAAAAAAACATTTATTACAAAATCAATATTTAACATATTATCTTTTAATAATTTTGCTTTGGCCTCCATACATTAACAATATAAAAGCCAGTTATTTAATATTGCAGACAACATGTTGTCTACTACTGTTCAAAAGTTTAGGGTCAGTAAGATTTTATTTCTTTCGTTTTTTTTTTTTTATGAATTAATAAATTGAATAATATAATTCAAAAAATGAACACATTAAGCTGATCAAAAGTAACACTAAAGACATTTATAGTATTAAAAAAGATTTCCATTTCAAATAAATGTTTTTATTTTGTACTTTCTATTCAAAGAGTCTTGAAAAAAAAATCTGAATCAGCACAGTAACAAGAATAAATTACATTTTAAAATATAGTAAAAAAAAATTGTGTTTTATGAAATGTTTTTATTGTGTTTGTGATCAAATAAATGCAGCCTTGGTGATCTTTTAAAAGACTTCTTAAAAAAAAAAAATCTTATCAACTTTTTAATGGCACTGTAGTTATAATTGTGTATCGTTTCAGCCTCAGGGGACATCTGAAAATGACGATCAATGATGGCAAAATTCATTGCAGATCATGGCAAAAAAAAGGGTTTCAGAAGACTTAAGACAAACAGAAATGGCAACATTTTCACAGACAGACATATACTGTATACAGACTGAATACAGTATATGCATATAAGAATGTTAACCCATGGTTTACAAATATACAGCGTGAATCTTTAAACTCGACCACCCAAGACAAAGTATAAATAGCATAAAATAAGACAACCCAGGATTATAGTAATGTTAGGGTTAAATATGACAATGGTTTATCAATTTCCAGTGTGAAAAGCCCTATACAGTGCAGGCTGCGTGTCAAAGTGCTAGGTTTAAGGAGCTAAACAGAGTGAAATGAGTGTGTGTATCTGTGTCTGACCTTCACTGTGAGGCGCTTAATGATGAGCACTGGATCTGTGCTGGTAGAGAGAGGATGTCCTGTGAAGTGATACAGAATGAGGGTGTTGGGAGAGTGTTTCTGCTGTAACTCTATCCTGCAGAGAAATGACATTGTTTACTGTGTGAAAATTGACCTATATCGTTATTGTGCAATAATACCTAATATTAAGTGTTAAGATGAAACAACCATTTAGCGAGCAAAAGTGATTTGCCCGATCCAGGTGCACCAGATACCAGCAGTGGTGGGGTGGGTGGAGGGGCGGCTACCATGTCATTGAGTTGGTCAACATACTGTAAAAATAATTAATACAGCATTCAACTCATTGAATTTACACATTTCCTGCCATTCGTATAGGCTACAGTTAATTCAATATTTGGTTACTCTGATAATAATAATTTTAGCTATCAATATGTGTGTAGTACTTTCAGTTATCGTCAAATACAGAATACAGATCTTCCTTTAGATTTCTTGTGGACCTACTCATCAGTTAAAATACTAGGTCCATAATGAACAATACAGAAAATTATAACAGAGAGCCATCGTGCCTTCTGGAAGCTGAATCTGGAAGCAGCGCTGCAAGCCTGCTGGAACGCCTCAATCTGCTCCTGCTCATCATGAAGGTCCCACAGCATATCACCAGAGTCTTCCTCTTCTCTCTCCTCCACACCTCCACTCTCTTCTAACTCCAATCCCAACAACTCCTGAAGAAAGAGAGAAAAATCTTGTAGAAATGTCTCTTTCTGTTTAACATCATACATCTCTTTAAGATGTTCCTCTTTCAGAACCTTAAATAGTGAACCACATTCTAACAATGCTTATATTTTTACACAAACGCTCGGGTTACTTTCAGTGTTAGGTATTTTTTATTTTTTTTTACTTCAGTGGCTGGGTCAGTTTTACTAACAGTAGAAACAATACACAATCTCAAAGTTACCCACTTCTGGTTTTTCTGTTCCAATCTGGACTATCAACAATCATTTTCACTCGCCAGTCCAGGCTGCTCCTACTGTATTTTCATATAGACCTAAAAACCTATTTAATTTCACTGTTAATCTATTACATATATTATTTTTGCTGTAAATATTTAAAATAGTAAGCATTTACAATGTAAAATATATTGGCTGAATATGATAAGCAACCCAACTTGCATTGTTAGTTTAACCCAGCATGTGTGCTGCCCAGTATTTATAAAGCTCTTGACAGCTGGGTTACTTTTAACCCAATCATATCTCAAGTTCATGATCTGAGAACACTATGGACAAACTACAAGCATGCGATTAACACCAACACCCACTTCTGTCAGGACCACTATCGTCAAAGATGATTGACAATTAGCAATGTGTTTTCCTGTGTGTGTGTACCTGTTTGATAATTCTTTCAAGTTGAGTGAAGATAAGAGCAGCTCCATCCTCTACAGACCCTGCATAATCCACTACCTGCAGAAAAAAAAGAAGCAAAGAATAATTTATCAAAAATAAAGCGTGGACGTGAACTACAGACTTCACAGTATTTTTTATGTTTGAAATTCCTTTAATCCTTATAAGTCTTTTGGACATTATTTAACAATTTCATTTTCATTTTTTTAATGGTTTCCTCAACCTGAGTGGTTCAAAACCTGGTAACTTTTTTAGATATTCAATAATTTCTTTAAAAACATCTTGCTTAATATTCACAGTCAAAAATGACCACATACAGTCAAGGTGTGATCCTTTTTCTAAAAGCGTAAGAGGGTTAAAGTATTACCACCACATAGTGGTGCTATATATGAAACTTAACAGTGCTATATAAATTAATCTTAGAAGAAACTTCAAAGAATTCCTAAAAGAAAAAAATATTTTTAATTCTTAAAAGAAACTTTATCACCTATAGAAGCTTCAGAAAAACCATTGAAACCCTTATGATCTTTCTAAAAAAAAAAAAAAAACCTTTAGAACTTTCAGTAGAATTTTTAAATGAATCATTTGAAATTACTTTAAGTTTGGCACTCTTGTCAGCTTTGTTAACTCTCTCCAGCAAGTCTCTAGTGGATGGACTGAGGGTGGACACCTCTTCCTTTTCTCCTTTTCTGTCACCAGTTCGCAAATACAGCAAGAGAGGCCGAGAGTCTGGGGTTTTCACAAATGCTTCCTCCACATCCTCCACAACACAACTAAAACAGCAAAACACATTCATGTGATTCATATCAACAATAATATGATAAAAAGTAAGATACAAAGATAGAGTATCACCTGGACACTGAGGACTTGAGTAGCAGCACACACACAGAGCTCCTCTCGATCTCCTGCCTGCGTTCAGCAGCATACAGAGCAGCTTTCTCCTCAGGAAATGACACGTTCAGGTAGAAATGACCCAAACCCTCACAAAACCTCTGCAGCCTCAAAGAATGAGTCTGAAAGAGAGAGACAAATGGATGAAGAGTGCTACAATGTGAGAATGCATGTATTTAAGTTGTGTTATCTAAGCATGTGTACCTGTATAAAGGTCTGCATCTCCGCTCTGGTCTCCTGTGTGTATATGAGGTAGCAGCGGATTGTGTTACTCCACAGAGCCTGAGAGACGCGAGGAGAAACTTGCAGCAGACTGGCTACAGCTGCATCCCAATCATCTGAAACAGCACACAAAAAAATCAGCATACATGCAAGCATACCTACAACTGCACACACAGGTGCAAACTCACCTCTGCTGACATTGGCAAACGGCCCCTCCACGTCGATGAGACTGTGAGCGAATTCTGGACCCCTGTGTGTCTGCTGTAACTGCATCATACTGCCCAAGGACGGCTCGCTGCCCAACACTCCACCACTCCAGTACTCACACTGAGTTCCTGCAGCTGCACACAGGGTAGACATTAGGGATGCACTGATATTGAAATTTTAGTTTCACAATGCTTCACTCTAGGCAAGGCAAGGCAAGGCAAGTTTATTTGTATAGCACATTTCATACACAATGGTAATTCAAAGTGCTTTACATAAAATAAAATAAAATAAAAACAATAATCACAACAATAAAACAAGGAATTTAAAAACTTTGAAAAAATAAAAATAAAAAATAGATTTAAGAGGTTTAAAATGAATTTAAGAAGACGATTATACATATAATATAGTGCAATCAGTTCGGACATCGCACAGTGCTCATTCAATAAATGCACAGCTAAACAGATGAGTTTTGAGTCTGCATTTAAATGTGACTAATGTTTTAGCACATCTGATCTCTTCTGGAAGCTGATTCCAACTGCGGGTGGCATGATAACTAAAAGCACATTCCCCTTGTTTTGTGTGAACCCTCGGTATTTCTAACTGACTCGATCCTAAAGATCTGAGTGGTCTGTTAGGTTTATATTCAGTGAGCATATCTGCTATATATTTAGGTCCTAGGCCATTGAGTGATTTATAAACGAGTAAAAGTACTTTAAAATCAATCCTAAATATAACTGGAAGCCAGTGTAAGGACCTGAGGACTGGTGTAATATGCTCAGATTTTCTGGTTTTGTAGATATTTAGCTGTACAATAGCAAAAAAAATAAATAATAATAAGTTACTTTTTATTTACCATTTAATACTTTTGCTAGGTATAGACAATAATCGCATTTAAAATAAATGAAAATCAATAAACAAACAAACAAATGAAAAAATAAATAAACAAATTAAATAAACACTTGGATGGACAGGCGGACAGACAAATTAAAATAAATAAACACATAGATAGTTTAATTAAGAAATAGATAAACAAATTAAAACAAATAAATAAATGTAGATATTTAGCTGTACAATAGCAAAAAAAAAAAAATAATAATAAGTTACTTTTTATTTACCATTTAATACTTTTGCTAGGTATAGACAATAATCGCATTTAAAATAAATGAAAATCAATAAACAAACAAACAAATGAAAAAATAAATAAACAAATTAAATAAACACTTGGATGGACAGGCGGACAGACAAATTAAAATAAATAAACACATAGATAGTTTAATTAAGAAATAGATAAACAAATTAAAACAAATAAATAAATAATAAACAAATAACAGATGCATACATCAATTAATAAATGAATATATAAACAAAAAGATAAACAATTTAAATTAAATAATAAATAGATCAACAAAAGTGTAAATAAACAAATGATCATAAAGATATATAGATACACAGACACTTTTAAAATGGCATGCACCGAACTGAACCAGATTTTAAAAATAGATAAGAACTATCTATCTAACTATCTTTGAAAGAGCTACTTCCTCTTTCAAATAAAGTTGAGTCAGTGTGAGAAATCTGCATCATGCATCACATGTGAATGCTCATTTTCTTCAGAAAGTGTAAAGATCTAGTTTCTCTTGTGAAATTGATCTGCCACATTCTTACTGGTGACAGTGGTGCCGTTGTCGTCTGAATCCGAGTCTGCTGGATCATAAATCTGAATGCCTTGAGCCTGCAGCTGCTGAAGTTTTGACTCCAGATCTCGTTTTGCCCGCAGCAAATCCTGAATTTCCTTTTCTTTAGTCTCCCGGAATATCTGCCAGGTGATTTAGGACAGAAATAAAGATGAAGGAAACACATTGGTGAGGTAAAGAATGCAGTGACAGGCAAACTGAAGCTAGAACAGCTAGAGGCTAAAGTGATAAGACAGTCTTGGGAAGATTTAGGATTGTGCTTGTGCAAGGTAATAATTTTTAATAAGTCAGTTCTTAAAGTTACCGTGAGAGAGAGAGAGAAGAGAATAAGATTCACACCTTAAACTGCCGTTTGACCTTGTCTCTGTCGTGCTCAAAGGTGGCAGCTCTCTCCATGGCTTGATACTTTGCCTCCAGGGCACTTTCCTTCTCTCTAAGAATCTTCTGGTAAGTCTTCTGAAGAGCCTGACAACCAGAGAAACACAGAATCAGCAAACCTTAAGTAGTTTGATAGAAATGTTGAGAAAATTAACATTAATTTCAGAATTTCTTTGCTTTTGGTACATGGGTCAATGACCCATTAATACTATTTATTCAAAAAATATTGAAAAATTGATTAAAATGCAGTTCATACTGTACATACAATGATTTGTATACACTTGTTCTATGATAATTCAAGTTTTTGATTCATTAATAGTGTCGGGCAGTTTTCTATTTCAATAAAGGTATGAGACAAAAGTCTTTTGAAGATTTATTTTCTTGCCATTCAGTGTTGGCTGCAGATTGCGACAAAGAGAAAATACCTTAACTCAGTATTTAATCAGGATGCTTCTATTTCAACCAATCATAATGCATACTCAAGATATGTGTCCATTAAAGGTGTCCAACTATGTCCCCTAGATGTGTTTCTAAGTATTTAATTCAAATAATCTTTTAAGAAGCTAGGTATAAAATAGTATTTCTCATCTCACACTTGTCTCGCACACACACACACACACACACACACACACATTATATAGATTTCCTGTTATCTCTCAGCTTATTGAAAACTCAAGCATACTGAAGCAAACTAAAGCACTCAGAGAAAGTCTAAAGACTACTCTTTAGTACAGTGAAGCAAATAATACCAATAATAATATTTGAGATAAAAAAAATGATTTCCTTCAAAAATAGAAAAACATTTTTTAATATATATTTTGGGGGGCATAAAGTCAAAAAGTGTTATATCTTACTGAACTGTCCTGATATTAAAATGAAGGAAAACATAATTTAAAAAAATGACATTTTTGGTATAATCTATTATAATTGTTTAGTAGAAAGAAAAAAAAATGAACAAAACTGCTTCACCATTTATAATTCTTTAATAAACTTTTCCCCACTAAATTAGATAATATATATATATATATATATTCCCCATAGGTTTTTAACATTCTAAAAGCTCTTTATTCCAAAGATACTACAAGCTAGTCAGTGTATTCAGTAGGTGTAATGTATTGTAAGTTGCTTCAGAGGTATTGCAAGTATTACATACAACAATAATAAAACAGTGCATTGACATAAATAAGGACATTTACTTTTGGTACTTAAGTACTTTTAAAAGCAAGTACTTCTGTACTTTTACTTAAGTAAGAATCTGTCTTTACAACTTTTACTTGTGATGGAGTAATATTTGACCAGCAGTATCTGTACTTTCTGCTGAAATGTGGTAGATTTGGCACGCAATGACCCTCATTTCTGTATCTTTGGTTACTCATTGTAAATAGTTATGAGGGATTTTGGCACCTTTCTTTTTAAAATGTGTTAATCAAATGTGTTTATGTACAACATTATACATTATATAGTGTTTGTACTTATAGTGTCTGTCTCACAACATAAATTATAAGATAAAAACATTTATGAGAAGTTGTGACGAAGTATGATCTGAATATCTCAAGTCTGTTTTTTGGTTTAATTTGACATGTGTTGTTGGGTTAGCACAGGGCTGTCCAAACTCGGTCCTGGAGGGCCGGTGTCCTGCAGAGTATAGCTCCAACCCTAATTAAACACACCTGAAGCAGCTAATCAAGCTCTTACTAGGCATACTAGAAACTTCCAGTCAGGTGTGTTGAGGCAAGTTGGAGCTAAACTCTGCAGGACACCGGCCCTCCAGGACCGAGTTTGGACAGCCCTAGGTTAGCATGTTGTTCACTACTTTCACAGTGTCATCAAATCAAACACATGGAGAACGTGGATATCTGCATATTTAATGCTTAAGCATCACCTTAAACTGTGGTCTTGAACTCTGCGGTCATCCTGGAGACGATGTGCGCGGGACGAATTCCAACAGAGTGAGGAAAAACACTCCACCCAACCGAGAGGATTGAGGAGATCCTGAACGATGAACGTGGACAAAACTGATATCAATCTTAGGACCCGAAATATTAATCGATAAGTAACGTGTTCGTAAACACGGCTGGCGTATCAGTCAAAAGGTAAACAAATCATACTGATGCGCACACATTTTCTCCCAAATGTCTTCCTGACAACCGCGTTACTAGGCACGCCTTCTTCTACGGGTCTACAGTGTGACCAAAAGGTTAACCTAAAGCGTTTTCGTGAGTAAGGGCCCGTCCAAATACTCATGCTGCGTCCCAATTCGCATACTATCCATCCTAAATAGTATTCGAAAATAGAATTAGTATGTTCCAAATCGCAGAATGTTGAAATAAGTATGCCAAAGATTTCCGGATGGTCTACTACTTCCGGGTAGAATTCGAAGTGCAGATCGATGCACTCTCAGGCTTTGTCCAAATACCCACAATTGCAGTCTTTGCACTTGACCACTTGATTACTTAAAGGGGTCATATGATGCTTTTTTTAAAGATCATTATTTTGTGTATTTGGTGTAACAGAATATGTTGACATGCTTTAAAATTATATAAGGTTATTTTGTCATTCATGATTGGAGTCTGATAGCCCCTCCTCCTTCACTATGTAATTAAAGCTGAGACAGTTGAGTGCATGACGTGTCCAACATTGTTTTTTCGGTTATTTAAATGCATCATCCGGGTAATTAAAGTGCACTTTTCCTTTTTGGAATTTTCAGTGTGTGAATTCACTACTCGCACTATTTATACTACAAAACGTCATAGAATAGTGCATAAGTAAGTACGCGATTTGGGACGCACACTTGCGGTCTTTGCACTTGACCACTTGTCTACTTGCATTACGTTATTTATCCTGTAATTGGTGCAGTGCACATTCTCACTCGTGGCGAACAGATCCACCTCCGCTCTCCCGTAGCGGGTCTAAATCATCCGAACCGACTCGGGGTTCAACCTCCACTCTCCTTGAGGAATCCCCTTCCTCGAAAGCATGTCCGCCCCGAGGTTCAGGAGACCGGGGATGTGCGCTGCTCTGATGGAGAGAAAGTGACGGTCCGCCCATAACAGGAGATTCGCTGCTTGCTTGTACAAAGCCCTGGAACGTACGCCTCCTTGGTGATTTATGTACGAGACCACAGACATAGTCTGAAATGGCGCAGGGAAGACAAAATGGCCCCCGAGCGCTCCCGAGAGAGGCGGGCTCGCATCTCCACTGAGTCGAAGCACACTCCCAAATATGTTATAGACTGTCTCGGGGCGAGAATGCTCTTCTGCATGTTGACACATAGCCCTAGGGACTCCAAGTGACGAAGCAGCGTGTCTATATGGCTGAATAGCGTGTCCCGGGACTAAAATCAGCCAATCATCCAGATAGTTGAGAACGCGCATCCTCTCGCTCGCTCTGAGAGGGGAAAGTGCTGCATCCATGCACTTCGAGAAAGTGCGCGGTGCCAAAGCCAGCCCGAATGGGAGAACAGAGTATTGGTACGCTGTGCCCTCGAAAGCAAACCTCAGAAAGCGTATGTTATGCGGTGCTATCTGAATGTGAAAGTATGCGTCCTTTAAGTCCACGGATGCAAACCAGTCCCCGGGGAGAATTTGCGCCAGGATTTGTTTCAGCGTTATCATCCTGAATGGACGCTTGCAAAGCGCTCTATTGATGGGCCAGAGATCTAGAATCGGGTGGAGTCCCCCGTCTCTTTTGGGTACCACAAAATAGCGGCTGTAAAACCCGCTCTCCAGCTCGCTGGGAGGGACTTGTTCTATCGCTCCTTTTTCGAGCAGACTGCATACCTCTTGTTTCAGAACCAGGGCATTTCGAGGAAATGTTAGAGACTGCACCACGCCACTGAAACGGGGTGGTCTGCGTCTGAATTGAAGGGTATACCCACGCTCTATCACACCGAGTAGCCAGCGCGAGATTCTCGGAATTTACTGACATTGACTAAAATCTCATTCTTTAAAGGACAGATATGCAGTTGGAGGTGTTCAGCCAACTGCCTTACGCTCTGGAATCCACCAAAGCCTGACTGGAGTAGACGCTGGATGCCCATTACAGTGTGACCGGAAGGAAAGTTGAAGTCGAGTATTTTTCCATAGACAGTGCATCCAACAGTAACTTCGGTTCTACTGCCGGACTTGGCCTTTTACTGGGCAATTGTTCATGATATGACCCACCATGCCTGTAGCGTATGGACCAATCAGACTCACCGTTTTTCATTAGATTTAACAAATCAATTATTCATTAGATTAACAAATAGTCACAGACCCCTCACCCAATAAACATACTGGGTGCCAGGATGTCTGCGAACGACACCAGGCCCCTGGTCACCTTGGCAACCACGACACCTTTTGCTAGACCAGATACACTTTACGACCTAATGGCATGTTGAGAGTTCTCCCTTTCACTACATTTTCCATAGGAAAGACACAATGCACAGTAAAAATTGACTCTTCTCTAATTAATTAATAGAAAAACCTTTCTGTGAATGAACACACACATCCTTCAGGTCATTGTGTATGTGGTTACTGTCCTTGTATATTGTCTTTTATATTGTATATTGTATACTGTTTTATGCAGGCTTATGATAGAACCCCTCGTTCATGTAATCTTACCTATATGTAATCCTACCATGTTTAGTATCTATGAATTCGTCTTCTGATGATCCAAACGAGAGTGTACAGGTGCATCTCAATAAATTAGAATGTCGTGGAAAAGTTCATTTATTTCAGTAATTCAACTCAAATTGTGACACTCGTGTATTAAATAAATTCAATGCACACAGACTGAAGTAGTTTAAGTCTTTGGTTCTTTTAATTGTGATGATTTTGGCTCACATTTAACAAAAACCCACCAATTCACTATCTCAACAAATTACAATACTTCATAAGACCAATAAAAAAAACATTTTTTGTGAATTGTTGGCCTTCTGGAAAGTATGTTAATTTACTCTAACAGAACCGCAGCCTCCAGTCTGCGGTTCTGTTAGATTCTGAGAAGAGGATGTGACATGGGGATGTGAGCTAAAACGCTCTAAGGACACCCTAAGTCTGCGCCAGGCCTCGGGCCTTGACTTTCCATTCACCAAGATCATCTGACTCAAACTGGTTCTTTTTCATCAACCAACTTCAGCAAAGATCAACTTGAGCCTTCAGATTGCATCAGGACTCTCTGTCAGACAGACAAGACTTGCAAGTATCAAACTTAGTCTTATTAATTGATACATTAAGTATCATTTGCACCTTTTAACAAAGGTGCGTTTGAACTAAGAAACTGATGTTTCCTTCAGGCTGTAGATCTGCTGAATATCCAATGATACCATAGCTTCATGTTTTATTTCTCTTCTCTTTACTACCTAAGCTTTAATCCTGTTCCTATACCAACTGTATGCATGTGTGTGTGTATATATGTGTATGTTAGACTAGTTTAAGTGTTTATGTAGTTAATAAAGTCTTACTTGTATCACACTTGAGGTTGTTCATTGTTTGCTCATAACCGCAGTCCCTAATCATGCAGATTTCTGCTACATGCTCTGTGTAGTATTGTACAGTAATAAAGTTATTTCCCTTAACCAGGAAATTAACATTCTTAGAATTGACAGACAGTTGACCCTGAGAGGTCAAGTAAATACTTACAGCGGATCTAAATATTTATAATTAATTATAACTAGTTATGATGAATTATTCATATTTCCCCTTTGAGCTGATTTGCTACAGAAGAGTGGAGAATGCAGGCATGATAAAACAAAGGTTATGAGTTTAAAACACTGTCAACCTAAAAGTGTGTGTTGATAGTCCAGTATAATTAGATTGATGCAATTCATCTACACTTTGACTGTATATATACAAGCCTAGCAACCTGGTGGTCATTACTGTGTTTCACTCGCTAAGTGAAACATAATGGTGTAATACTGTACGTCAGTATTCAAGTGTGAGGCACACATAACTACATATATGCTTAAACCGGCTTTAACTTACAGTAAACCTGTTTTGTTATTCTTTAAACAAGTGCAAGAAGTTTATTGTTAAATTAGAGAAGCACTCACAGAAGTGCTTATTTAATGCAACAAGTCTTGAAGGACTGAAAGCACCACATTTTAAAGGGGTGGTTGATTGCAATTTCACTTTTTTAACGTTAGTTAGTGTGTAAAGTTACTGTTTGAGCATAAACAATATCTGCAAAGTTACCAAGATGAAAGTTCAATGCAAATGGAAATATCGTCTTTTAAAATTCTGGTGGTTTAATGCCTACAAAAACGTCTGGTAGGGACTACAAAGAGTTACTTCCCGGGTTTGTGACATCACAAACCCAGATAAACTCCGCCCTCGGGAAAAGGGAGCAAAGGGGGCGAGGCCATGCTGCGCTGCTTTAGAGAAGAGGAAGAGAAAACTAGGAGATCACATAAAG